CGCATCAACCTTTCCAAAATAAGAAAGGCTTTAGAAAACAAACTAGCACAAGACCAACTTTCACCCTGTGCAGCTGCCTGTCCAGGCCAAAACAAATTCCAGTATCCATTTTTATTCAATCAACACTACTAATATCCTACAACATTCGCGTAAGAAATTCACCAGAGCCAATAAGTAATTACTTTCATATGCGCTTTCAAGATATTAGTATCAGGCCGCCTTCTTCATTCACAATGTAAGACATCCATAACCAAAAAAATAATCAGAAACTACTTAATACCAAAATTTTGTTCCCACTGTATAGGAAAATGCTTAAAGTCAACATGCTACAAGGTTGCCTAAAAGTAAACAACAATTTCATTGGGGAAGAGCCACTGTTGAACCCCTGGACTGCAGCCATGATGTGGCTGCTTCACTGGTAGCCAAAAACCAGCCATCCATATTGGCAGCCTTATGGAACGGAGCTTTAAGTTCCTTCAGATATGATTCAAAAACAGTTGGCAAAGCTTTATCTGAAAGCCTGTGTTTCCCATGCCCAGTGTTGATTCCAAGTAGTGGTGGAAGGTCTTCCCCTAACTCCAAAGCCTTAGACAAGTCATTTATCCAAACACTTAAGGCAGTCAGAGCTGCTCCAACTGAGAGTCTCTTTAGATGCAGAGACCACTTAGCTTGAGATCTTGATTGTATATCAGTATATATCCGAAGAGTCAACCCAAGATCCAAAAGGTCACGAGCTCTGTCGGGCACATCCAGGTTCACACAAAGATCAATTAAACAATTACACATGGACTTTTTTACATCAGGTTCAGTTGAGTTAAAAAGTTCTAATGCTTCCTTTCTAAAATTTTCACCATCCTCATGCTTTTTCATCAAATACCTTAGCACAGACCCAAGCATTGGATTAGCCTTCTCAATGCAACCTGCGAGCTTACCAGATTCTTCTTTTGGTACTTGGGACATTGCATATAGAAGACAATCACAGAAGCGGCCATCAGGACTGATGCCCAAATCCATGAGCTGATTAAATACCTTTACAACATCATCAGTTCGCTTGGCTTTTCCATAGCAATGGAGAAGTGATGTAAGAACTATTACATCAGGTTGAAATCCAGATTCCATCATTTCATTGAACATGGCCTCCATCTCTGAAATTTTGCTAAGGCAAGAGTACATGTTGATCAAAGATGCATATGTAAATTTGTCCGGTCGACAAGTCCCAGAACTTTTCATGTCTTCAAAAATTTTAACAGCTTCATCTATACAACCAACATTTGCACACATGTCAAAAAGCATGTTATAAAGAACTACATCGATATCCTTCCCTTTTTCCTTCATTTCCTTGTAAACTCTCATCGCATTCTTGCTGAACCGGGCTCTACAATAGGCTTGTAACAGAGCTGCGTAGGTAGGCCAAGTTGGTGACAATCCATTACCTAGCATCTCCTCATATATAGCTTTGGCTTCCCGGGCTCTCTTAGCTCTCCCCATGGCATACAACAGAGCATTATATGTTACCAAATTGGGCTTCGCACCAACAACTTTCATATCATTGTAAACGTTCAAGCACTCATCGTAATCCCCTGACATCCCAAACATCTTAATCAACCCCGAGAACACCACCGTTTCAACATGCCATTTCTCTGCTTTTGCTTGATCGTACAGTTTCAAAGCCATGTCAGCATTACCAGTTCTTGCATAAACATATATCATGGACGAGGACAAATTATTATCCGGTTCACACCCGAAAGTGGGCATCATCTCAAACCACTTCACAGCCTTATGTGGAAAAGAACACATGGAAGCGCAGCTAATCATAGTTGAAAAAGTAATGAGATTAGGGTGGATCCCTCTTTGAAGCATTTCATCAAACAGCTTCTCTGCTCCTTCAAAATCCTTTACCTCCCTAAACAGCTTCAGGGTAACGTTGTAGAGAATAACCTGACTAGAAGGTTTTATCTTCTGCTTGAAGTAGTCAACAGCGAGGAGTGCAGTGTAGGGATTCACCATGGCATTGAGAATAATGACGGCATCGCGTTCTGAAACGTCGTCCCCTAAAACGCTGAGGATTTCAGAGACGTGTTCGCGGGTGGGGTTGCATGAATCCAGAGACTTGGCGAGTTTGGCGAGAGGTGATGAAACGGTATGACTGGAATTCTTCCAAAGCTGTTTGGCTCTGGGGCTTTTGGGATTGACCCAGATGGAATTTTTCGATAAAGATGGAGATTTTGCAACTGGGTCGTCGAGTTTTGTGTCTTGGAGAATATTGGTGGCTTGGAGCAGGGTTTTGGGTTTAGAGAGGAGAGGAGAGAGTTGATAAGAAAAATTGAGAAGTTTGAAATGGCGGGAAGAGTGAGAGAATGAGATAGATGTGGTGATGGCGACGGGTTTGCCATAATAGATTGCATAAGAAGAAGGGGAAGAAGACGAAGAAGATGAACAAGTGCTGAGAAGGTAAGATTGAGCCATTTTCCTTCCTTCTCTGAGACTATGGAGACTCAGACCGTATGCTCATCAATGAACTATATTAAATTTATTTTTTGCCCCTTTTAACTTTATACATTGAATATATAAAGTTCTGAAGTTACATAAGAGTGTAAAAATGTTTATTATTTATAATATATTGCTCCCACAAATCCATGATTTTATATCTGAAATTATAATGATATTTTATCAATTATTATTTTATATATCACAACTAGGGATGGCAAAAAAATCCGCGCCCGCGGATATCCGCGGATAAAATCCGCGACGGATAGTTGGTACCCGCGGATATTTACTATCCGCGGGTTGCGGGTAGCGGGTTTTTTAATACCCGCTTATAAACGGGTCGGGTGCGGGTATTATACTATCCGTATCCACGGATATCCGCTACCCGCAAAAAATAAAAATAAAAATTTAATTTATATTTTATTAAGTTAAATTTAATTAAAATTAACATTAATTTATATTTTATAAAGTTAAATATAATTAAAATTAAATTTTAATTTATATTTAATTTAATATATATTATATTTTATATATTTTTTGTAATTTTATTTAAATTTTATTATAATATTTTATAAAAATATATTTTTTTAAATATTTATGGGATATCCACGGGTATCCACGGATATCCGCGGGTTTTAAAATATCCGCGAATATTTTTTAAGCGGATATCCGTGCGGGTAGCGGGTCGGGTAGCGGGTGGATTTTTTTTTGTCGGGTCGGGTTGCGGGTAGGCACTATCCGTGCCCGACCCGATCCGTTGCCATCCCTAATCACAACTTCGTTACATATCAAATAAGAGTGATCAAAATATTATTATTTAACCATAATTATACTAACTTAAATACTTGAGAAGGAAAAGGTGTAATTTTCAGCAAAATTGATATGTTCTTTTCTTAGTTTCTAGTCGCTCTCGATGTAGAAACAAATAAATTATTATATATAGAGAGAGAGGTTAAAAAAATAAAAATGAAAAGCTTCCATTAAAACCGATATTAATATACATTTTTTTGTAAACTAATTTCCGTAATGTTTAACTTTAAATTTCTTAAACTCTCTCAGACTGTTTTCCTTTCAGAAGATGATTTTAAAAAGTGGGTAAATGAATTTGACAGAAAATAAAAGATAAATTGGTATTGTTTTAAAAGATTTAGAAATGAAAATGAATATATTTAAAAGTAAAGTAAGATTAGATATTTATTATAGTTAAAATTAATAAAAAATGAATTTAATTAGTTAAAATTAATTTAAAATATAATTGGGGTGATTTTTTTATAGAAAAATAAATTTAATAGGTGTAGTTAATTTAAAATAAAATGTGATTGGTTAAAAACAATTTTAATTAAATATTGAATTATAAAAAGGTAATACTATTATTAATTAATTACTTTTTGTTATTATAATTTTTATTAGTATTTTATTTAGATGTATTATTTTTTCATTAATATTCTTTTGAATATTTTATATTTCATTATTATTATTATTATTATTATTAAATTATTATTTTTTATGATTATTAGTTATATAGATAAAAAGTGATAAATTTCAGAAAAAGTTCAAAGTGTATTTTTCATTTTCTCAAATCACCTCACCTTGAGAAAGTTAAAATCTCATCTCTCTCTCAAACACTCTCTCATTTATTCATAAATCATTTGAAAGGGAAAAAACATGTTATTCACATTCATTATCTCACAAAGAAATAAATCTATCGAAAGAAACAAATTATTGTAGACATTATGAGACCCACATAAAGTTGTGCTTAAATTTAAAAGAGCTTGAAGTTCGATTTTTTTTTTTGTAAATGTAGGGATGAAATAAGTAATTAAATTTAAAAAATGGAACATGCTGATTAATTCACTGCATAATCATAAATAAATGACTGGTGATTGGATTAAAAGATTTTTTTCCGCGTTTAAAATCAAATAATTGACATAAGTGGATTTTAGTAAACTCTCAACAACCAATCAATTAAAGATGAATTTAGTTATATAATTTAACTAAATACTTATAAATTAAGTTATGAAAAAATTATTCATAGGTTTAGTTTTTAAACAATTGAAATATAAAAGAAAATACACTTTAATAAGCTCCTCCCAAGTGTTATCAAAATAAATTAAAAAACTTATAAATTTATTTCAGTAGTGAACAGAAAAAATTTACGCCATTATATGAATTTAATTTCAGTAGTCAACAGAAAAAATTTCAAATTTGAATTAACTTAAAAGTTTCAAATTCAAATAAATATTAATTCATTTACTATATATTTGTCTGAAAAAGAAGTAATTTACTTTGTATATAAAACCCATAAATTATCGTTGTCCTCCGAATTTCAACTTATTTAGTTAAGAAAAAAGCATTTCAAAGTTATAATAACATTTTGATCTTTTAATAACAGTGCTAATAATAATTTGTTAGCAAATCCATGAAAACAAATCGCTTACTATAACAATAAATAAAACTTGCAGTTATTTCAATGAAAATATTTGTACTGGGAGTAACAATTTAGGACTAGAAAATAATATTGAAATCATGTGTTGCTATTTTTTTTCTTCAGAAGAAGTTTCGTGCACATATATACAGCACAAAATCTCGGCAGAAGGAATTGGAAAAAGCCGAAAAGATTAGCATGATACTAAAGGGCCATTGCTGGAACACCTAAAGCCAGAGTGTTCAAACTAGCAATTGATTCTGTTGAACCCCTAGATTGCAGCCATGATATGGCTGCTGGCTTTGTAACCAAAAACCAACCAGGGTTATCTGCAGCCTCGTAGAATGGAGCATTGAGTTCCTTCAAATGTGATTCAAAGACAGTAGCCAAGCCTTTGTCTGAATACTTGTGTTTTCCTTGCCCAGTATTAATTCCAAGAAGTGGAGGAAGGTCCTTCCCTGATTCCAATTCCCGAGACAAGTCATTAATCCAAACATGTAATGCAGTCATAGCAGCTCCAACTGAGAGCTCCTTCAGATGCAGAGACCACTGATTTTGAGATCTGGATTGTATATCTGTATATATCTCAAGCATCAGTCCTAAATCCAGAAGGTCGCATGCTCTTTCAGGCACATTCAGTTTGACACAAAGATCAATTAGACAATTGCATAAAGGCTTTTTCACTTCAGCATGAAATGAATTTAGAAGTTCTACCGTTTCCTTTCTAAAATCTCCATTGCCCTCCTTCCCTTCCACCAAATATCTTACCGCAGTCCCAAGCTTTGGATTAGCCTTCTCAATGCAATCTGTTAGTTTACCAAGCTCTTCTTTTGGTGCTTGAGTCAAAACATTTAACAGACAGCTGCAGAAGTGATCATTTGGATCAATGCCCAATTCAAGAAGTTGATTAAATATTTTCACAACATCATCAGTTCGCTTAACTTTTCCATAGCAGTGGACAAGTGATGTCATAACAAAAATATTAGGTTGTAATCCAGATTGGATCATTTCATTCAATATTCCTTCCGCCTCTGAAACTCTCCCACTGCGGGAATACATGGTCATTAAGAAAGTAAATGTCCAACTGTCAGGCTGGCAAGACCCAGAACTTTTCATATCATAAAAAATTTCAACAGCTTTATCTATGTAGCCAAGATCAGCGCACATGGATAAAAGCTTGTTATAAAGATCCGCAGTAACATTCACTCCGTTCCCTTGCATTTCTTTATAAAGACCAAGAGCATCTTCACCACATAGTGCTCTAGTATAGACTTCCAAAAGTGATGCATATGTTATAAAATCTGGCGAAACACCGCTGTTTTTCATCTCATTATATATAGTCTTGGCCTGTCGGTGATTCCTAGCTCTCAACATGGCACCCAACAGATTATTATATGTCGCCATACTAGGCTTCACACCAAGAACTTTCATGTCTTGGTAGATTATTAAGCATTTATCATAGTTTCCTGCCACGCTAAACATCTTGATCAATGCTGAGAACGTTACTGCGTCAACGCGCCATTTCTCAGCTTTTGCACGACCATATAGTTCCAAAGCCTTATCAACCTTATTTGTGCGTGCATAACCATATATCATGGCTGAGCTTGTGATGTCATCACGTTCACACCCAAAGCTGGGCATCTTTTCGAATAGCTCCACAGCCTTATCGGGAAAACCAGACACACTAGCACAGATAGCCATTGTTGAAAATGTTATGTTATCTGGTTTTACACCTCTATAAAGCATTTCATCAAACAAATTCTCTGCTCCTTCAAAATCCCTAGACTTCCTAAACAAATTCAGGGTCACGTTGTAAGTAATCACCTCCTTATCTCTGGTGAAATTAATCTTGCTATGGAAATATCTAAGAACAAATAAGGCAGTGTTGGGATCCACCATCTTACTGAGAATAAATATAGCATCTCTTTCTGAAATCTTGCCCACTATACCCTTCAAAATCGTGGAGACCTGTTGCTCCCATGGATTGCTCGACTCCAAAGAATCGCTGTGTTTAAGATGAGAACTGTACATGTTGATCAAGCACGCGTATGTCAAATTGTCTGGTTGGCAAGTCCCCGAACTTTTCATGTCTTCAAAGATTTCAGAAGCTTCGTCCAAGCAACCAACATCAGCACACATGTCAAAAAGCAAGTTATAAAGAACTGCATCCACATCCATTCCCTTTTCCTTCATTTCCCTGTAAACTCCCAGCGCATCCTCACGAAAACGTGCTTTACAATAGGCTTGTAAAAGAGCCGCATAGGTAGCCCAACTTGGTGAAAACCCACTGTTTAGCATATCCTCATATATAGCCTTTGCATCCAAGGCCCTCCTCCCTCTCCCCATGGCATACAACAGCGTGTTATAAGTTACCATGCTAGGCTTGACACCAAGAACCTTCATATCATTGTAAACACTCAGACATCCATCAAAATTCTCCGATATCCCACACGTCTTAATCAATGCCGAGAACACTCCCGTGTCAACGCGCCATTTCTCTGCTTTTGCACGATCGTAGAGTTTCATAGACATTTCCGCATTACCGCTACTTGCATAAGCACGAATCATAAAGAGGAATATACTGTTATCAGGTTCAACCCCGAAGGAATGCATTTTCTCAAACCACTCCACAGCCTTGCGCGGCAAAGAACACATGGTAGCAGAGGTAATTATAGTTGAAAACGTAATGATATTAGGGTTGACTCCTCTTTGAAGCATTTCATCAAACAGCTTCTCTATACCTTCAAAATCCCTAACCTCCCTAAACACCTTCAGAGTAACGTTGTAAAGAACAACGTGTTTTGCGGGGTTAATCTTTTGCTGGAAGTGCCCAAGAGCGAGGAGTGCAGTAGTGGGATTGACCATAACATTGAGAATAAACACAGCATCGCGTTCGAGAATGTTGTCCCCTAAGACATCGAGGATTTGAGAGACATGTTCGTTGGTAGGGTTGCACGAGTCCAGAGACTTGGCGAGTTTGGAGAGAAATGATGACCTGGTCTGAGGTGAAATCTTCCAAAGTTGTTTGGCTCTGGAGCTTTTGGGATTGACCCAGATGGAATTTTTGGATAAAGACGAAGACTTTGCAGCTGGGTCATCGAGTTTTGCGTCTCGTAGAGTGTTGAAGGGTTGTGCAGAGGAGAAGCGTGGTGGGGCGGGGAGAAGAGTTTTGGAACGAGAAGGAATGATAATGAAGGGTTTGCCAGAATGGAATGAGAAGGAATAAGTGGAACAATGGGAAGAGCAAAGAGGGTGAGGATGAGCCATTTTCGGTTATTGTCTCGGCATAAGATTCCGATACCATATAACTGTTCCAGACAGTTAATAGAATCTAACAGTGGTTTTTTCTTCCTCCCTCCCATAATTTCTATCTGCAACCCCATATTTAAAAAAAAAAAAAAAAAAGCCTTGTGAAGGTGATTTTCAAATTACTGAAAATTTAAAAAAAAAATAAGATTTTTGAAAAAAAAAATTAGAGATTTTTATATCACCGTTTTGGAATAAAATTTTTAGGGGAGGATTTCTAGAATAATGTATTTTAGAACTAACAACTTTTTCAGAATTAAACTTTTCTAGAATAAATTTTTTAAAACATGTGATATGTTTTCTGAAATAATTTATTTAAAATATATGGAATGAAATTCAAAATAGAATTTTTCAAAATACTTTTCAGAAAATATGTAATGTCTTTTGGAATAAACTTCTCACCAAACTCAATTTTTTACTCTTTCTCTATTATTCTTCCTCTTAAAGAGTGCGGCGCGGCAATGAATAATAATTGTAATTAGAAGTGCAGTAAAAATACAACGTCTGTAACAGTGATGACTTTGATTAAGCTTTAAAATGTTATTTGAGACCCTTCAGCGCTGCTACTGCACATCATTTGTGCCTCATTCTTCAGCTGCGTCTCCTTCCTCTCATTTGCGTCTCATCTTTGCACCTCGTTTCTCTTTTTATTCTCTTTCATTCACTAAAAAAAAAAAAACTAGATTTCTAAATTCAGAAAAAATCAGAACTGAATTTCGAAAATACAGAACTAAATTATAAAAATTTTGAACCAAATTTCAAAATTAGGAAAATATCACAATAAATTTTCAAAATTCGAAAAATTCTGAAACTGGACTTCAATGTCTGAGAAACTCAAAAATCAGATTTTAAAATCCAAGAAAATCCAAAAGCAAATTTTGAAAACTCGTAACTTGATTTCAAAATATGATAAAATCCAAAATCAGATTTTGGAGTCCAAAAAAATCTAAAATCGGATTTTGAAATTGGAAAAATTCCATTTCAAAATCTAAAAAAAAAATTATAATCGAATTTCAAAATATAAAAAGTTCCAAAATTAGATTTTGAAATATAAAAAACTCAAAAATCATATTTCGAAATCCAGAAAAATCAAGAACCGATTTCAAAATCCAATTTTCAAACATTTAGAACCAAATTTGAATTTTTATAAAATCTATAATCAGCTTTTGAAATCCAGAACATTTCAAGAACCTAATTTTGAAACCCAAAAACAAAAACCTCAGAAGTCAAAAATCTAGGAGACTCCCAATTTTAAAATCCATTTTTTGAAAATCTAAAACCAGATTTCAAAATCTAAAAAAAAATATCTAAAATCAAATTTTGAAATTCGAGAAAAAAGAGAAGAAATGAAATTGGTGACTTGTGGGTGCTGAGTAAATATAGCAAAAGAGTAAATACGGATATGAAAACAGTAATTACTGTTTATCTAATTAATTAATTAATTTATATATATAATTTGTAGAACTATAATGGACACCGAAGAGAAATTTGGGGTGCATGAAGAAAATCATTGGGGCTGGAAGAAAGCCCCGTGCAGTAATCACGAAACTACAGGGAGCGTTACTCCTCCACCACCACACACTCCTTCCTGTACCTCCTTAATTTTTTTTAATTCTAAAAATACCTTTTTTTTCCTTTTATCCTTTACCTTTTTAATTTTTTCTTAAAACCTTAACTTTTTCCTCTCTTGTTCAGCTGCAGACCGCTCATTCATCATCATATTTCTTCCCTCTCTATTACTAATTATGTGAGTAATGAAATATTCCCTTGTGTGTAGTGTGATGAGAAGGGTGAAAATCCAGCATGGGAAGCTATAGGTTCAGAAAGAGAGGCCTCGTGAAAAGGAAATAGTGGAAGCTACGAAGGAGAGTGATTGGAGCATGCCTAAGTCTCTTGCTGAGAAAGGTCTTGAAGTTTCTATGGATTCTGAAAACAATGTCCTTGGAATAAAGTGTGATGCGGTAATTTTTCAAAGTGATGGACCTTCTACATCTGGGCTTGTTCAGCAACTGGAAAGATATGAGCTGAAATTGAATGGTGCTGCCTGCCGACAATGAGGTATATATTTTGGGATTGTGGGAACAAAGTTACAATTTTTGTTATCTGGAAAGAATTCACTTTCAAATTGATAATTTCTTCATTGTATCTCATTCTCAACAAATTTATGTATTCTAATTCCATGTGAAGAATTCGTTTTGAAAACCATAATAGTCTTATCGACTTCATGGTCTGCACCTATTTGCAGGCTGAGTACTGTTATTGGTTATCTAAAAAGACAAAGGAACTATTTTCACAACCAATGAATGCTGAATCCAAACCTTGTCTCTCAAACTCTAATGCCTCAGGGGAAGTCTTCCCTGCTCAAGGTATTAAGATGTGTAATGCTTCCTCTATTTGACGCTCCCATGGAAACTTTTCATAACCTACTCCCATCAACTCCCAATAATATACTTGCACCAACATGTGTGATTTTTTGTAGGTTTAATGATCATCTTTACCTATTCTATTTCATAAACTGGAAAATCTGCAAATGTGGATTGGAAGGAGCAGGTTTACCAACAGGTAATGAAGAAGTTGTTTCTCTTCACTTTCTTTTCCTTCTACCTTGATATTGAATGCATATTCCATGATTTTTGAAAATTTTCTAACGTGCACTGTAAAAGATATACATTTTTTGTAACTGTATATTGGTACTTTTAATTGCAGATTCAAAAGATGAATAGTGCCTATTTTTTCAAAAGTTTATGTCTCTTACCTAGAGATGAATAGGGCGCTTCAACAGGTTGGTGATTGATTCAAGCAAACTATGATACTAGATTTACACATTGTTTTTCTTGTTACCACTAATCTTTTATATTTATGTTAAATTTTTTCAGCTTGGGTCTTTTCCTCAAGTATCAAATACAAATCTTTTGGAAAGACTGATAAAGAAAATGAAAAAAATAGAATGTGTTTTGGCACTCTTCAAATTGAAGAAATGCCAAATAACCACCGATACCAACAAGATTCTTGATGAAGCAGAAAAGTTTGTATAATCTAATTTTTTCAAGGTGTGGGAAAGAGTTGTAGCTGCTATTCAGCAAGTTCAGGCTTCAAGGTGCTTGTTCTTGAAAAGGGTAACTATTATGCCTCCGGTGATTGTTCTTATTTGGAAGGGCTTTTCTGAATGAGCTTTATGAATTACGAGGAACTTTTGCACCTTAGGATGGAAAAATAGTGATTCTGGCAGGGTCAACAGTGGGTGGTGGATTTGCTGTTAATTGGGCGACATCTATTAGAACCCCAGACAGTGTGCTTAAGAAATGGAAAAAAGAGGAAAAGAGGAATAGATATCGATATCCGTTTAAGGTATCTATGAGATCCGTTTAAATGTTTAAATGTTTAAATGTTCTACGGATGACTATATCCGTTTAAGAAAAATACTTTACAGGGCATAAGAGGAATGAAGAGGTGGAGGGAGGAACGTCCTACAGGTATAAAGAAAAAGCAACACAACCCAATAAAATTGGTGGACAAAAACAAAAGGAAGCCAAAAATTAGAAAGTGTTTTCTTAAGTAGCCCTTTTGGATTTTAGATATATTTATAAACCTTTAACCTTAAATAATTGACTCAAATTGGATTTAATACATAGAAACTTTGTCATACCATATTTAAATTCGGTTTCTGCTCGGTCTTTAAAAAAGATTTAATAAAGAATTGGACCTGTTACATCTTGTTTTCCTGAAAATTGACTTAATAATGAATTACCATTTTAAAACACTAGTTCGGCATTACAATTTTCAAATGTATTTTAATGCACTAATTTCTTCACTATTTTAAAAAAAAAATAGCATGGCAATCAAGCCTTTTTATAGGCTATTTGGATAACACCAAGAATGGATTCAACTTCACAAAATTACACACAGTTATGCCATAAAGAGATATTAAGAGCTAATATGTTCTTAAGCTAACAAAACTGTAAATAAAGGCACTGATCTTCTATATTTTTTAATTTAATCTCTGGAATTAGTTTATATAAAAACAATTTATTATAGTTTTACTGACTTCAAAGCTCCAAATACAAGAGGTGTAAAAATTACGGTCTAATTACATTTTTTTAATTTAGGGATAGTTTCCAAACACAATAATTAAAGTACCTACTAATGTACTAAGCAAAGAAATAAAAACATTAATCTACATATCACATCACGACCAGGAATACAATATTTTATATTTAGATTATACATTAAAAAACATGTTTTAAATTATATAATTCAAAAGATACTTATATTCTAATTGTATATTTTAAAATACCAAATTGAAAATGCTTTCTAAATTATATATTTTATAATACAAAATTTATATTCTAGATTAAACAATATGAGATACAATAATTTATGAGGGTGCAGAAAGAAATATATAGAGATGCATTAAGGAACTGCCAACATGGGATGGCACAGACCAAGAAAGTTATAACATTCTTCCTACAGTATTAGAGGTGAGAAACGTTTTACACTGTACCAACTGCTCCTACAACGCCCTGAAGTCTAACAATAACTATCAAATGCATTTGGCCCAAATAAAAGAGGTTATAAGAATTCTTAGTCAAACATTTCAAGTATAGAGTGTCATCTATGGATATTTAGATTTTGGAGCAATGATGACTCCGATTGAAGTATTTGGATTTAGTTTGCAAATGATGGCAACATCAAAAAATACAAACGTAGAACAAATAAAAAGGAAGATTAAGGACATGATATAACAAATATGCAACTCCCTAGACCATGGAACAGCTGCAAAGAGATCATCTAGCCTATTATTAGGTCCTCGGTTACTTTACAAGATAACTGAAATTTTAATAAATATGCATATATTGAATCTACTAATTAAAAATTTCCNAAATTCAGAAAAAATCAGAACTGAATTTCGAAAATACAGAACTAAATTATAAAAATTTTGAACCAAATTTCAAAATTAGGAAAATATCACAATAAATTTTCAAAATTCGAAAAATTCTGAAACTGGACTTCAATGTCTGAGAAACTCAAAAAT